ATTTGAGGGATGGAGCCTGAAGAGGGTGAGGTTTGAGGAGGGGTGGGACCTCAGACAGGTACAATGCCATAGACTCCACCCTCCAAACCAGTCAGTCCCTCATGGGGAACCATTGTTGCCAATCTCCAGGTGAGAGCTGGAGACCACTCAGAATTACAACTGCTCTGCAGAAGGGAGGGCAGAAGTCAGCTGAAATCAAAGGGGCAGATAATGGTAGGTTGATGGTAAGCTGGGAAGGAGATGGGGTTGCCAACTCCAGGCTGGCAAATTCCTGGGGATTTGAGGGTTGGAGCCTGGAGAGGGTGGGGTTTGCAGAGGGCTGGGACCTCAGACAGGTAGAATGCCATAGACTCCACCCTCCAAACGAGCCATTTCGTCCTGGGTAACAATTGTTGCCAATCTCCAGGTGAGGACTAGAGATCACTCAAAATTACAACTGCTCTTCAGGTAGCACAGATCAGTTCCTCTGGAGAAAACAGTGGACTCTGTCATTACACCCTGCTGAGGTCACCACAGCAAACTGACAGTGTTTGCCCAAAGCCAGAGCACTCTCCCAGAGCCTCTTTCTAGATTTCGTTGTATTTATTTCCACAACGGGCCTTATTCCTAGTAATCAAATAGTGATGATAATATTTAAAAAGAAAACCATAATTAACTATGTTTACTATTAAGAAGAATACACTCTAATTGCCTTATTAATATAATGAAAGGTTTTCTTCCATTGAGATTTAAGTGTATACGCTGCACAAGTGTGTACAGTAAAGGAATAAAGATAATATATCTTTTTGTATTATTCTAATTGCTGCAAGAATGAGTTGGAGCCAGTCTGCTTATTATAAGAAGAGTTTTGCATAGAGTGTGAGTTTTTATAGATTTATGTACTATTGTATTTTGACAACTTGATTTATGGGTGCACAGGTACCCAGGCTTCTTAAGCCTGTGGACAGCCCACAAAATGGCTGCCATAGAGCGCCTGGGGCCAATTACAAAATGTGACATTACAAGCTAAGCATTCTCCTATAACAGAGGCAGCTGTTTCTGTGCATACACAAAGGTGATGCCTACTTGTTTTTTCTCCTCCAGTGAAGGATCAAATGGGTACCAGGATACCCATTATGGTGAGATCACCGGAGCAAAGTGTATTCAGCTGCATATCTTCATCTCCCTTTATTTTATTTTCAGTTTGCTTAGATCTATACTTTTCTCTGTCCCTCAGATTTGAAGCTATGAATCATGATAGTATGTAAAAGGATGAGAACTCCTGTCCTGAATCCAATACTGACAAGGGACGAAAAAGAAAAAGAACAAAGCAGAGAGAAACAGAAATACGTTAAAAAGAAAGAAAGAAAAGAAATAGAAACGTATAATTAGAAGAAACCTCTGGGGAAACCCTGGCATTTTACCTTTGAGGAAATTGCATGCTGCACACCAGCATGTTACAAACATTTGACAAATGGTTTTTGTAAACATCTTCTGAAGACTAGGAATTTTTGAGAGGAGAAACAATGGGGAGGAAGAATGATTAACTTTTCCTGCCTGCTGTTTTTCCAATCCAACACCTGCCATGAAGCTGCTTTGCTCTGGTGGTGTTCCAATTGCATGTTTGCAAGGGCAGTCATGCAACAAGAGTCCTGGAGGCAGCTGGGGTAAGGTAAGAGAACTGCAATGGTAAAGCAGTGATCAGAGAAGGGTTAAGCTACCTCTTCTGCAGCTCCTTCGCATTCACTTTAACCGTGCTCTTGAAAAATAAAAATCACTTATCAGGACTTTGCTGCACACATTTGTGTTTAAAGTTTGTTCCTCCATTATTCATAAAACTGAGACTTGTCCTATTGGCTACAGTACAATATATTCTGACTAACCCAGTTCAGTAACAGCTGTTGGGGAGACAGTTTGGTGTAGCCCTAATGAAGACTGAGAATAATGACCAATCTTCTGTATGGAATGACACATGTCTCTCAAATGTTGATTTTCTCCTATACAGGAAAATCACTGCTGCAGATATCAGGCAGTTTGGTCCTAAACCCAACGATAGCTAGTCAGATGAACTAAATGCCCTCCAAAGATGCAGTTTCCTGCACGGTATAGCATCTGGAGTCCTTGGATGAGAGAACCCTGGAAACAGCATTTTGGAAGGCATTTTGAGCTTTTTCAGAAGAGGAGAGGTGAGGAAAGGAATCCTTCTGTCCATAGAAATGCTACGTTGGATCCAAGCCATTGTTTTTACAGATTCAGTTTTAAGACTGTAATCCTACTATTTTTACAGAATTTATTGTTTTGCCATATAGCTAATTATGAGCAGTGGGCCTAGAATGCATAATGAAATAAGGCTGTGTTCGGATAAGTGGGATATTACTGCAAACCCAGTTTTGCAGAAAAAATTAAAAGCTGGAAATACATGTGGCAGGGATTTTTTAAAAAATCCTGTAACATTAAGGGGGGAAAAAACCTCACAGTTATGTAGCAACATCTCAGCCACTATCATTGGAGCTGCCAAACAACTCCCAAGATGATTGGAGGGTGGGTGGGTGCTGGAAAGGAAAACGCAAAGGAGATGGGAAGATGCATGCTAATTGCTGGCGATGTTAGGGCTGCCACAGTCCTCCCTTTCCCCTTCCTATAAACACTACCACCTCCTCCTCCCTCCTTGCCACTAGAAGGGAAAGAGGAGGAGGGCCAGGGAAGGTGGAGTTGAACACCAGCAGAGTCTGGGCTGCTGTTGCTGCTCCATCCTTCCTCAGCCTGTCCCTTGCCACCTCGTCCTCCTCCGAGCAGCTTGGAGGGAAAGGAGAACTTGGCCAGAGATGGTGGACACTGAGCACCAACAGTGTTTGTTCTGAGAGGGGGCCTGGGTGTTTGTAGTCAGCCCCATATCCCCACAGTCCCCTTCCCCTCCTGCACTGCAAAATGATCTTGGGACAGTTGAGCATTTGGGCTGGCTAGGAGCCTGTGGTCTCATGTGCTTTCTCCCAGCCCAGCTTTCCCAGCTCCCCTCCTGGAAGCAGGAGGGAAATTTTTGTCTAAGTGTCTTGCTTGTCCCTGCTCGTGCAATTATATTTCCTGAAAGAACAAATAAGTTTTCACAGTTAGCAGTTTTGAATTACTGTTATTGATTAGATGGTATCTGGTATTTGCCACATTGCAAGTAAAATGGCTACTTATGTATGCTAATTTTTATTATTTTTAATGGGCATATTTCTATCTTATAGGGAGCAAGAGTGCAGAATACTGCCAAAAATTTAGGAGTGAGGGACCGAACACCGCAGTCCGCTCCAAGGTAACTAAACATTGCTATCAATTGCATGTGACCAGGACCATTGTATATCTAATTCTGAACTTGGCCCCCATTCAGATAAAACAAGTTTATGATACAATCAACAGACGGCTAGAAAAGCTCAGAGAATGGGTCAAGATTCAGATTGGGGGTGTTGTTCTGCAGACCTTGGGTACCCCCTAGCTCTGCAGAAAAATATGAAAACCACCAAAGAGAGTAATGTGGCCTGCACTTCTACGGACAATATATGGGAGCATTCCCTTCTGAGTGGCTGTAGGGTGGGTGGAAGAGCAGGAGAGGGAGCTACTGCTTCCTATGCCAGGTGGGCAGGGAGGAGTAGAGAGATAGAAAATGAGATGTTGCCCCATGTGCCAAGCAAGTGGGCAGGTGGGAGGAGGGGAGAGCCAGAGATGCTGATATATAAGTGTCCGATCCTCCAGGCATTCAAATAAATCCACGTTTGTAGCAAAGTAGCATTTATTAAAGCAATGGTGAAACAGGAACACAAGGATTGTTAAGAATGGAGACTAACCGCGGGGTACAAGGTAATATACAAATTCATACCAAACCGTGGCCAATGGGTCCACTTCCCGCGTGCGGGAAAACAGGTAAAATAGGCGCCCCAAACCCCTGAGAACAAACGGTCCTAACCATAAACATTATTTCGCTTCTCAAGCCCTAGCTCATTATAATCAAAGCAAACCTAAAACGCCTCCCATCTTCCACCAGTCAACCTTGAGCGTTATCTAAGTTCCAAAGCAGCCCTAGCAGAGAGGGAAAGGAATGTACCTAATGAGCACAGCAAAAGCCGAAGGAAATACAAGCCGGT